TCAGAATATCTTTACAATAATCATAAGAATTTTATAAGGATTATAAGATTTTTGTAAGATTTATAAGGATTTAGAATAATTATCTCTCCAAAAGCTTTAATATTCTGATTCTGTAATAATTATGAGACATATTATTATATCATAGAAAAGATTTATTTTATTAATTCATGGAGCTAGGCTGTCATTTTTATTGGTCCTCCCTTTAAACTCCCCCCCCCAAAACCCTATTAACAAAACTGTATAATCATATCTTTATGTTAAATGATCATTATTATATTTTAAAACTATTTTAAGTGTTATGTAAGATTATAAACTCAAAGCATAACTAATCTTCATGTCCCCCTTCTTCCTTTCTTCTCTTCTTTCTATTCTGTCTTCTTCCTTTGTCCCTTTTCAACAAATATTCATTGAGGCCCTGCGAGCTGCCAGGAGTCTTTGGGTTCCGCACTTAACCGAATCAGTAAGAGAAAGGCCTGGCATTCTGTTTCTGAAACTCAGCCATTGACCGCTCTCTGGAGCACACACGGCTGTATTCTGACACACGAGGGGTTGCCATGAGTTGAAATGTACTTAACAGTAACTAGTGCAATGTAATAGATGCCAAATCCCATGGCTGGTCTTTTGGATAGACAGACAGTTGGAAATAACAGAAAAATATTAATGGACCAAGTACCAAATGTTTGATAAGGTGTAAAACATACTCTGAAAGCATTTGAACATATTAGTATTGTTTCACGGATTTTGTGTTTTATGAAAGATACATTGTGTCATTTGGGTGTTAACATATCTAGGGTTACAATGATGTCTTGCCTTTCTTTCATTAAGAACTTTTCCTCCCAACCACAGATATCAATGCTTTACAACTACTAGGAAGAACTCAGTAAGTGATTAGTTAAGTAGGATGTACTAGACGAGGAAATATAAGTCACTTTATAAAATCTTACCTTAAAATTATAGCTTAAAAGTAATGTGGGATACAATCAGAATTAGAAAATCAGACATAAAAAATAGTTTTTAAAAGATTAAAATACCTATATTCTCATTTCCAAGCAATAACCACCATGTGCATTTTATTGCATTTTTTTCCTGTCTCTATCTTTGAATATTTGAAAAATTACTATTGATATAATTATATTTACATATAAGTCTGCATTCCATTTTTCCATTTATATTGTGTGCATATGCCATGTCATTAAATAACCTTGATTAATAAACAGTTTAATGGCTGCCTAAAATTCCATCATAATAAGTTTTTTTTAAACATTATACTATTATAAGATAATCAATTGTTTACAATGTTTTTTTATTATAAATAATTGCACATCCACATTAAATCTCTGTCACTGTCACTAATTATTTAGAAAGAACCATATATGGGCAATAATACAAATCAAGAAAAGTATTTGGAGATTTATTAATTACATTGCAGATTCCATTTATGTTCCAGCTAATTAAAAAAAATTAAGTCATTGTTTTCCACTCCTAAAAGAAATATTCCTTTCCTCTAAAGGGAAAATATAACAATTTTTACAGAACTGTAATACTTGAATGACAAATTATTTTATTAAAGTTAAATCATTATTTTCCACAATGTCTCCCATAGGACCTTATGCAAAGGAATTAGATAATAACTCATTACAATAAATACTTTTATTATAATTAATGCTTTTTGAAAAGTGAATAATTAGAGTGGATGAAATGGAACTGAATAAGTAGAATATAAAAAATCCTAATAAATTTATTGGCAGTCATACCTGTTCAGAACCATTAGCTGTACTTGGAGTATTTTTCACAGCATCTCGCAAATCCCTGTGGGATTTCTTATCTTTGAAAAAACTGAAACCATTTTGAAGTTTGTTCCAGTTATCTATTGTTTCCCTCCACACTTAGTAGCTTACATCACAAGTGTACTTGATCTTGTGTTATGGTGATTTACTGCTGACATAGCTGGGTGATTCTGGTTAAGGATTTCTCACACAGATAGTCAGTTGGTGGCTGAAGCAAGGAATATTCAATGCCTGATGCCTGGACTGGAGAGGTTGAAATAGATAAGGTCAAGTTGTCTCTCTTTCTGGGGCCTCCCCAAATGGTTAGCTTGGGCTTCCTCACAGTGTAGTGGTTTTAGTGTAATTCAACTTCTACAATGGCAACTTTTTTCTATGTAGAGCATCCAGGAGAACTGGAGGTGACACAAAAGTTCATACACAAGTTAATGTTTATAAAATGTTTACTATAATATCTTAATGGTGGATAGTATAATAAACATATGATAATTGATAGAACTGGTATACTATTATTATAGAAGCCATTCCACATCTATGTCCTCACAGTCTTCTTAGACATATTTTTTAACATATTATCTTGGAAGAAAAATGAGGCCTTCTACTCCCATAAAGAGTTACAGTCTTAGAAACCCACAGGGGCAGTGCTACCCTGTCCCATAGGGTTGTTATGAGTTGTAATGACTCAATGGCAGAGAATCATAGCATCTTATAATGAGCATATTATTAGTCTAATATAGTTAGTATATTAATATATGATTAGTATATTCTGAAAGAGCCTCCTCTCTATCTCTGTCCTCACAGGCTCAGTACACATCTTCTTCAGCACCTGGATCTCATTTCTTGTCCTTATTTCATCCTTGTTGATGCGTGCCATTAAATCAGTTCTACTCAGAGTAACCCATTAGGGGAGGGTAGACTTGCCTCATGGGGTTTCCAAAACTTAACAGAAAAAATGGCTGCATGATTCGACCATGGAGCAGCTGGTATGTTTGAACCATGTTGGAACCCCCAAAATGGTTATTAGCAGCTGAGCATGTAGCCCTGTGACTCCGTGGTTTCTCTACCTCACTTTTTGCTACTATTTTAATAGCTTGAGCATTGATATTGGTAGTCCATCAAACATAATATTTCAAAATAATCCTAGGCCTTAAATAATCTTCACTCCAGATACACAACAATGAAAGGATCACACTGAGCTACTTCAAAATCAGAAAATTTGCAAAATTTCCCTCACTACACTACACCCTCTGTCTTAAGCTGCGCGTGGTTCCACCTCGATTCTGTGGTCATTCATCATGTTGGCATCTTTGGTAATAGACAATAACAAATTTACAAATCCGCTGGCTGTGATTCGCATGGTCAGCAGTTCAAAACCACTAGCAGCTCCTCGGGAGAAAGGTTGGGCTTTCGACTCCTGTGGGAAAAAAAATGAAACAGTCTTGCAACGTAAAGGAATAGAAGAAGTTCAATAGAAAGCGTGTAAGCAACGGTGCATCTATTTTGAATGTCGTTGTAAAGCCCTATTTTAAGGATACTAAAGCACAGGTTTATTTCTCCTCAGCTCGGATTCTGGCTGTGTTTGAGGTTGATAGCCCACTTGTACCATAGTTTGAGCGTGATTATGCTATACAATCCTTTCGTGATTAAAAGGGAGATAATTTCCCTGAGCCAGCACCCTCTCACTCTTACCACAATTAAATAAATAAAAAGAACTGAATTACACCTATCTTTGAGGAGCCCTGGTGACTAAGTGGTTGGTTACACATTGGGCTGTGATCCTCAAGGGCAGTAGTTCAAAACTACCGGTGACTGCTGGAGACAGATGCAGCTTTCTATTCCTGCAAACGGTTACAGCCTTGGGAATTCAAAAGGGGCATTCTCCCCTCTCCTGGAGGGTTGCTGTGAGTGAGTACCGGCTTGAGGGCAGTGAGTTTGGGTTTGGGGTTGTGTTGAACTCCCTACAGAACTTCACCCAGGACTCACTGCTGGGATATTCCCATCCTGCTCTGTGTCATCATTCTTTCAGGGACTTACCTATCATCCCTGTTATAATCTGTGCTATTACAGGGGCTAGATCACAGTGTTTGTATATTGTAGGTCCTCTGAACACGAAACGGAGCCCCATACACCCATGGCTTTGTAGTAAGGATGGGATTCTGTTGTTGTTATTCCTGATAGTTTTATCAAACATCTGGTGCTGCCTCTGTGTGCTTTGATTGATTTAACAGCTATAGTCGATATTGATATTCATATCCTTTGTCTTCTAATTATTTTTCTCTTCCGATAAAATATGATACTAATTGGTATCAAGCACAGTTGTTAATGGGAAAAAAATCAAATCTATAATTAATTTATTCCCAGAAATCATGGAGACCAATTTGCATCACAAGACTTTTGGCTGTCAATTTTAATCACTAAATATGTATTTCATTACAATTACATAGTTTAATTGAATCCTTATTGAAAATCCTTATTGGAAACTTCTCGTGACTCATAATGGTTTTTACATAACTGTATCCATTGACTTTTGCTTATAGGTCCCCCAGGCCCCCCGGGAATAGTGATTGTGGAGGAAATCACAGAAAGCACCGCCACGCTGTCCTGGAGTCCAGCTGCTGACAACCATAGTCCGGTCTCCTCCTACAACCTGCAGGCTCGCAGCCCCTTCTCCCTGGGCTGGCAAACAGTCAAAACAGGTCAGAGGCCCTAATACCATGTCACATACACCCAGGGATGCTTCCGAAATCATGAGCTGTTTTCACGGATGATCTCAAAAGAATCTTGTTTGGTTATTTTTCTTCCCAAGTATCTAAGGCACTGTCCGTTTGTTTGAAATAACTTTAGGCTCTGATCCAGCACACTACCAAGATGCTGTGCGGTCAAGTCCAACTGTCTCAGAGTACAAGTGCAGCCCAGACAGTCTTCAATCACGATTTTCTCTAAAGTAGACTGCCAGACCTTTCTGTCCAGGCATTGGTGGCTGAGCTTATACTACCACCACTGAGTTCCCACCTGAGCCGAGCATGCTAACCATTTATATCCCTGCCCCAAGGACTCATCGATAGGGTGACGATAGTACCCACTGTTCCAGTGGGTCTACCCCAGTTCTCTAAATAATAACATCATTCACAACCACAGTACACATTTCAAACCAACATAATAACCTTGGCCTAATGGTATTAAATAAATCAGAGATTTTACTTAGATTTCACCATCTTTTATCCACGATGTTTTGGTTTGGTTTTAGTATACAATGCTGTGACAATCTATCTCACAGATTCAAGTAACCAGGTATATCATCAGGAATAGAAACAATTCCATCAGCCCAGAAAGAATCACTTATAAAAACGACGGTTTCATAACCACACAACACTTTCATAGTAAAAAAAAAATCTAGCGTGAAGTTGTGTTATTTAAAACAATGCTGTATTTTAATGTCCGTGTCTGAGAGGTTTGCATTATAGTTGCATTACTTTAAACATAATCTTCTTTCCCAATGTTTTTATTTCTTTTTTCTTTTTCTTTTTAATGTTCTAACTGAAAGGCACGATCTTTTTAAATGGAACTGTCCTGCAGGAACTGGGAAAATTCCGGTCATTTGATAGTTGTTAAATGCTAATTTAACACATTGGCATTCTAGTTGTGTATAACAAGTTTATAGAATGTAATCTTCAGAAGCAATTGTCTACACTGAGAGAGATTTTTACTTTTGTTTTCTTTCCTATCTCAAATTGTAATTGACGTGCCTGCTTGAAAATGAAATATAATATTCATAAAATATGTAAGTGTAGTAACCAGAAAATTCAATTAATAAGAATGGGTGGAAGTGGAGTGGAAGTGGAAGTGGAGTAAAAGAACAGAACCCTATTTTCTATGGAATAGTTTAAAATTTGAGAGGAAGGAAATACATTCATCTATATGTAAAATATAACTGAATTTTTCCCCAAATATTTAACTTAGCTACATTGACTTACAGAACTCAGTTTAATGAGAAATGTAGTGTGCTATACATTTGTACATATTTATTTTATAATATATATAATTGTCAGTGCTGGTTCAATTATTGTTCTGTGATACATCTATTTATCCCAGAAAATGGGGGCAATGGGACCTCTGGATTCAGTAGAAAATTCAGGAAAGGATGCAGATATAACATAAATGAGTAGATTTATTAAAGATATATTAACTTCCACCTATTACACCATCTTATTCCACATGTGAAAGCCCAGACATTTTTCTCGACAGCTAAGAAATGGAATTGCCTTCAGATGTAGCTTATATACTCATAAAACCAAATGGCCTGGTTCCTGACACGCTCTCTGCCCGTCCTGGCTACATAATCCTACAACGCACTATATGTACAGTTTTCCTTGTGGATATATTGCATTATATGAAGGGACTTCAAAGAGTTCATGAATGAAATGATGAAAGTCATCATTTTATATGAACTTTTAAAATCCCATATATATGATTCTTCATTCTATGTCCATGTTAATGTTCTTAAAATATAATATGATGGTCAAACACACTTGCAATTTCCTAGTTAGACATATGTACTCATTCCTCATCTGATTTCACTTTAAAAAAATTCATTTGTAGTTTTTGTTTGCGTGTGCGTACGTGTGTGTGTGTGAGGAAGCTTCAAAGGTTCATGGAATAATAGAATTAAGAGATAATAGAGTTTTTATTATCTTTTAATTCCATTTATCCATACCCCCCTTGTGTGTATGTATGTGCATATGTGTATGTATGTGTATGTGTGATTTGTTGCTATTGTGATGTCCTATTGAGTCAATTCCAACTCATGGAAACCCTGTGTACAATAGGATGAAACGCTACCTGATCCGGTGCCGTCCTCACAATCATTACTCTATTTAAGCCCCTTGTCATAGCCTCTGTGTCAGTCTATCTGATTGAGTGCTTCTTGCTTTTCATTGATGCTCTACGTCACCAAGAATGATGTCACTCTCAGAGACTGATCTGTCCTGTTAACAGGTCCAGAGACTAAACTCATATTTCAAAGGAGCATTCTGGCTGCACTCCTTCCAAGACAGATGCATTCATTCTTCTTGTACTCCATGGTCTACTCACCACCGTAAATACTCAGCACCATAATTCAAAAACATCAATTCTTCTTAAGTCTTCCATATTCATTGCCCAGATTTCGCATTCATTATTAGTAAAGCAATTGAAAAGATCACGGTATTGTCATGAGGATGTTGGGCACACACCTTCGACCTTGTGGCAGTGAGAGTGTATGCCAACTTCAATATGGAAATGTAGGTTAGCATCCAACATGTCGATCAGGTCATGGTCTGAAGATGCCTCGTTGGGCATGTGGCCTTCTTATAATGAAGAAACTGGGGATTTCTCTCTCTCTCTCTTCTTCATCTCCCTACTTGCTGACAGTCTGCCTACCTTTAGAGGAAGCCTCCAGTGGGCTGCCCAATCCTGAGAATTGTCAGTACCCTAACATATTTCTATCAATTTGGATTCAGGGCTGTCTACACCTACCAGCCTGTGAGCTCTCTGCTTCCCACTTCAACAGTCAGCATCGTTGCTCTGCAGTTACATGAGTCTAAAGAGGGTCCTAGCTTGCATTGGACTTATGCCTTTAGACTGGGCTGGGGTGCCATCTAGATCGAAGATCATTGCTCGATATAACGCTCTTTCTTATACATGCGTCATTGGTTGTGTTTCCCTGCACAACCCGGCCTTACACAGACCTTGAACTAGCATATTTGCTTTATATCACTTTAAAAGAGTTCTTTTGCAGAAGATTTACTTTGTGCTGAACATCATTTGATTTATTTACTGTTGCTTCCATGGGTGTTGGTTGTGGCTTCAAATAAAGTGAAACCCTCGTCAACGTCAATCTTGTCTCCATTTATCCTGATGTTGTCCTTTGGTCCAGTTAGGAGGATTTTCATTTTCCTTATGTTGAGGTAGAATGTGTACTGCACACTGTAGTCTTTGATCTGCTTCAGTGCCTTAAGTCCTTTCTTTCCGTTTTAGAATCAAAGTTCTGTCATCTGCAGATGGGAGGTTGTTAATGAGTCTTTCTCCGGTTCTGATGCTTCCTTCTTCATATAATCTGCCTTCTTGGATTATTAGCTCAGCATATAAATTGAATAAATATGGTAGAAGGATACAATGCTGACATCCACCTTTCCTGATTTTAAGCCATACAATAATCACGTATTCTCTTCAAATAACTGCCTCTTGGCTATGTACAGATTCCATATGAATGCAAGTTAAGTGTTCTGAATTCCCATTCTTTGTAATGTATCCATAATTATAGGTGATCCACATTGTTAAACATGTTTGCATAGTCAATAAAATACAGGTAAACATCTTTCTGGTATTCTCTGCTTTTAGTTTATAAGCCTCTGTAAGGCTCTGTAAACCCTTTTAAGCAGTTTTTGGCACAAGCCACAGAGAAATTGTGAAAGA